AGCATCCGTGGTCCAGCCTCATCACCCTCCACACACGGAAACCCGAACTCTCTCTCCTCACCACCCCCAAGCTTTCCAAGTCCCTGGCTCAGCTCAGCAAATGGTGTTGCCGTCCTCCCATCTGCCCAAACCAGAAGCTTTGAGTCATGCCTGCTCCTCCCTCCCCCTCACTTCCCAGTGCCAAAGAGCCCAGCCTGCCAAGTCTGCCCCCTCAGTGCAGCCTGGATCCAGCCTGGATCTCTCCTGCTCCATCTTCAGTCCCGCCACCATCGAGCTGGACCAAGCCACCAGTGTGTCTGTCTGGACACCTGCAGTGGCCGCCTCATGGCCTCCTTTATTCTCTCTGCCCCCACACTGCCCAGCACCCTCCTCTCCCCGGCATGAGTCCCCTTTGAGAACACAAGGCTGGCTGTGATCCCCTGCCTGCTTCACACCCCTTCAGTGGCACCCATTGCCTTCAGGACCCAGTCCAACCCCCTCCCGTGCAGTCTGGTCCCTGCCCACTCATCCCGCCTCCTCCCCTGTCCTTCTTCCCTCCCTCTGGACCCCAGCCTCTCTGGACACATTTCAGTTCCCAGGACTCACTGCCCATTTTCTCACTTCGGGACCTTCCATCATGCTATTCCCTAGGTCTAGAACACTGTCCCCCAGCCCTTGGCATGCCTGTCTCCTCTTCCTTCAGCATATTGGCCCTCCTGAGGAAGGTCTTCCCTGACCCCCTCGAGAGGTTACGTTCCCCCAGCTTTAACTTCTGCAGTACCCGGCCTTCACCTCCCCACCTCCCTGCTTCTCCCCTGGACTGTGAGCTCCCTGCAGGCAGAGGCTGTGTCTGTCTGGCTCATAACAGCATCCTAGAACTTCGCCTAGTGCACTCCAGTGCATGGACCATGTTCATTTCATTAGATGAATCATAGGTCCCCTCACTTCAGGTCTTTGCACATGCCGTTCCCTTGCAGGCATGCCTTCCCTCCCTTCCCCATTCAGTCAGCTAACTCCTGTTTATTCAGCAGCAATTTGGCTTGCCAGATTTGGCAAATGAAAGTATAGAATGCTCAGTTAAATTTGAATTTCAGATAAACAACTAATAATTTTTTGGTAAAAGTATATCCCAAGTATTGGATTAAATACAAGCATCCTGTATTTTATCTGGCACCCCTATCAGGAATCAGCACCATTGCCCTCCTTTGAAAGGTGTCCTGGCCTCCATCCCCACCCTCTTATGTCTGCTCACCCCCCATTCCTGGGCTCCCAAGCCACCCCCCTGCTTGCCCCCACTGAGCATATAAACACACCCTCTGCTTTGAAATTGTCCCTTACCAACTGGACTGTGACCTCACGACAAAGACTGTGTCTCAGTCTTTTTTTTTTCCTTTTCCCCAAGTTCAGTGGTGCAATCACAGCTCACTGCAGCCTCAAACTTCTGGGCTTAGCCTGAGCCCCTCAGGTAGCTGGCACTACAGACACACACCACTACTCACAGCTGATTTTTCTATTTTTTGTAGAGACAGGGTCTTGCTCTGTTGCCCAGGCTGGTCTCAAACTCCTGGCCTCAAGTGGTCCTCCCGCCCTGGCCACCCAAAGTGCTGGGATTACAGACATGAGCCACTGTACCTGGCCTCAGTCAGTCTTCATTCAGAACACCTCTTCACCTGGGGCAACCTTGGCCCTCAGGAGATGGTCAGTCAGGTTTAGAGAGAAGAGAAATGAAAGAACAATGAAAAGAAACATAAACAAGATGGGGGAAAGAACCAGCAAATGAAATACTGCCTGAAAAGCAAAAGGCAAAAGCAGAATGAGTCTCTAGGTTGATTACTTACAATGCAGAGTGTCCCCCACCTCCACTGCCTGCCTGGCACCTGTGCATAAAGTCCTCCCCACCAGCCCAACCTGAGTGAGTGCAGAAAGAAACCAGTCTGGGTCCCTCTAGGGGGTTCCAAAACAGTTTCTTGAGCACTTAAATGGGAGACCCTGCAGGGGACCAAAGGGGAGTCCATGCTTCAGCCACATAGTGGGAGGCTGTGAGGGTGCCCTGGGCAGAGGCACCCCCAAAGAGAGGGCTGCTCAACTGCTATTGGAGTTCAAGCAGGTCACCTGGGTGCTGAACCCATGCACTCAGTGGCCATTCAAATTACCTCCCACAGCCTGGGCAACATAGCAAGACCCCATCTGGAAAAAAATTTTAAAAAAAATTAGCTGGGTGTGGTGGTGCAGCAACTCAAGAGGGTGAGGCAGGAGGATCACTTGAGCCCAGGAGATTGAGGCTGCAGTGAGCTAGGATCATGCCACTGCACTCCACCCTGGGTGACAGAGCAAGACCCTGTCTTTAAAAAAAACGCCTAACTTCCACATGCCCTTCCCAAGCTGGGTGTGGTCCCCTAGGTCCCAGGAGGCGAGGGACCCTAAAGCAGCTAATTGCATTGATTATATGGACCCAAGACATTGCTGAGCTCCTTCCAATTACCTGTGTGGCCAAGGAACTGGCCAGTAGGGAAACCCACTCCACTCTGCCTCTCTCAGTGGTGGGTTCTGTCTCTCATATTATCTGTGTGTGTGTGTGTCTCCCTCTCTCCTCTTTTGGCCTTTGGTCCTTGTGTCACTGGTTTCACCAGCTGAGGTTTTCTTGGGACTTGTAAGTGGCCTTCTTAGCTTTTTCTTCACTAGGTGCCCCAACTCAGAAATAAATTCCAAAACAGCCTCCTCTCCCTCCCTGTCATAGGGACTGGCCCTAGTCTGTCTCCAGGCAACCGACTGGTAAGAGTGACCCTGCAGCCAGCAGTTTCCAACACCTCCCCCACTTCTAGCCATGAAGACTCTTTTTGTAAGTTTTTTAATTACCTATTATTTCCGACCTTCTCTTTAATCATCTTCCAAAACTCTTCTGGGAGCTACAGAACCAGATAAAGGAATCCAGTTCTCACCAGTGTCAAGAGAGGCCCTATGGTAGGCCTTGGATGTCACAGTCCTCTTCACCATCATGACTCTAATTATAGAGAATGGATCTTACGTTAGCCCAGGACTCAGAAGCTCCGGCTTCTGCCCCTAGCCCCATGAGTAACTCAGTGTGCCACCTCTGAAAGTTTACTGGCCTGGAGACACCTCCTATGTCAAACGGGAATAAATCTGTCTGGCCATAATGTCACCAGTTGGTGTGCAGAAAGCTCCTAAAACAACTCCAGAGTCTGAGTTCTTGTCCTCCCTGACAGCTCAGTGCCCAAAACACTTGTCAATAACACATTTCAGGCACCTTGATTTATTCTCCCACCCCTTTCCTAATCCAAACTGCTTCCTCTGCATGTGTTTGCTTGTTTAGCAAGAGCAAAATCCTTTGCAAAGTCCCACTCCTGCCCTTTTGGTCCAGTCCTTCCAAGGTTGGCTCCCTCCTTGGGTCTGAAAGAGGTCCAAGGGCCTCTCTTTCCACACTTCTTCCTGGATGCCCCCCTCAGCCTAGTGAGGGGGACCCATGCACTACCCCCACCTCAAATTCATGGCATTGTCCAGATGTTCCGCAAGACTCTGTCTGAGATATGGCTGTATTATGGCAGGGGTCAGGACATGCTACCCTAAAATATAGCAACTTGTCATACTGGATATTTTAAGCTAAAGGGATTTGAGAAACAGCAGGTGCGGGAAGGAATCTTTGACCTTCCCCTGAAACCAGTCATAAGCCCCTCCTAAGAGAGGCACCTCCTTGTTCCCACGGGGAAGGAGCGTCCGTGTCTCTGCAGGTGCAGGGACACGCCGGGAAGGATCTGAAGAAGAGGCCTTGGTAACTTCCCTGAGCTGCATTTAGCTCACAGCACTTGTGTGCCACATTTTTTCATGACTTTCCACATTTCAGCATATCTAGGATGAAACACTCAGGTTTAACCATTTCTTCAAGTCTTCATTTCCTTATGAAGGCCCCACATCACATAAAACTTATATTAAATAAAGTTGTATGTTTTTCTCTTGTTAATCTGTCTTTTGCTACAGAAGAGCAGAAAGAAAAGGATATTTTTCTCCTCTACAGTTACCTTTATAGAGCTCCTATGTTTTACGCAGGTGCAATAAATAAGATTTGTAAAGCTGCCATAGTACATGATCTGTAAATGTTCCAGGAGCTTCTGAAATGAAAAGTATGATTACCAGCTAAGAACGATATTTAACCCTATTAAAATGTCCCTAGGGTTTCACTGAGGGGGTTCAACACCTCAGTGGCTAACATGGGTCCATTGTCACCTCAGCAAAAAAATGAAAGCATGATGTAGAGCAGTAACTATAGCAACTGCGTGAAAAGCGTGTGTCCGGACTCAGAATCATCTTCCACATGTCACTTACTCCCCATTACTGACATCAGACCCTGAGATGACTGGGTGGGACCCTAGCTTGCTCTCTGCTCTGTCACTTACCAGCAATATGGGCTTGGACCCACTCAGAAGCCTCTCAGCCTCAGTTTCCTCTATTGTAAAATAGAATAAACAACTCCTTTACAGGGTTGTTGTGACAATAACATGAGACAATTAAAGTATAAAAGACTCCAATAATGCAGTATCTGGCAAGAAGTCTGCACACAATAAATTGGTAGCTCTTATTATAATAACTAATTGCCATACTGCTGATTTGAAGAGATAAATTTAGAATTGAAACTCCAGCAAGCAGCAGGAGAACTAGGCTGAGAGAGATGGGTCTTTTTGAGACTAATGTTTTGTTTTGTTCCAATAAGACCTCCTAAAACATCCATTTATTTTGGTTGCAAGTTGAATATTGTCCATGTTGATAATTGCTATGAATAATTACAGAACAATGACTGTCACTGACGTTCTTTTGGCACTTGTGTGATTAAATGTATCTTTTTATAACCCTTATTAAGACACACAAACATCATAAAACTAAGTTGGCAGAGTGATGTAATTATACAAAGTAATAGACAGGAAAGTAATAAATTTAAGGATCATTAAATACTTAAGTAATAACTGGGAAGAAGCAGCATCCCCATCTTGGCTGAATTTTTTGTTTTTTTTATCTTCAAAATAAAAATTTATTCAATCTGTAATAAGAACATTGAATCTGCACATTTGCGCACAAGTTCACATTTAAAAACAGCGGAGCACATCAGTAATAAAAAAATCTATGATACAAGTGGAATATCCCAACCACCAGGAAGATTAAGGAAGGAGATGAGACCACTCTTTATATTCTGCTTCAAATGCCTCAAAAAGGTCCCAGAGATTCCAGAGAGCACCTGCTTTATTTAATAAAATGTGAACATAAAATTCTAGGGTGGTTTGGGGCAAAGGTAACAGTCAGAAGGAGAGTCTTCTGGACTTGTTTTCCATGTTTAGAACAAGTCGTACAAAATAGAAAGAAAAAAATAAAAGCACCTTTAGCTATGCCAAGCAAACCAAAATCCAACAAAACATAAAAACCAAACAATTCCCTGTGGGCTTATTGATTGGGAAACACTTCAGGGCATTACCCAGTTTTCAGTTTGGGTCATCAGCTCGTTAAGCCCTGGGTAATGGCTCTGCATGTGTACACACGATGCTGCCACTAGCATCACTGTGAGGACACAGATGGCAGCACCAGTCTTATACCTCTTGGGGGATCTTCAAGCTGATCAGGGATGGTTCCAGTTTAGAAATCCTGTCCTAGATCTCTGGGGCATTGAGAAAATGAGGCTGGTTCTCTTTTCATAGCAGGAGCCAGGGCCAGTCACCCTCCACTTCCAGGCTTGCCAGCAAGATCCCTTGGTATTCTTCCAGTTGTCTCATGAAGCTGGGGTTGGGCTTGGTCACTGTTCGCCTTTCCTTCACGTAGTCATAGGCTCGGTCCAGATTCCAGCCACATTCCTTCATTGCATAGGCAATCACTGTGGAGGCTGAGCGACTCACCCCCATCTTGCAGTGCACAAGGCATTTAGAACTGTGTTTCTTTGCTTTAGAGATGAATTTGTAAGTGTCATTCCAGTAAGCCAGTAGGTCTGTTGCCTCTTCATCATATACCCGGATGTTATGATACTCAAAGACTCCTGGGAAGAAGTTATCTATCTCTCGAGTGACATTCAAGATATACTGCACTCCTCGGTTCTGTAAGTCCTCCAAGTTGGAGGCATTCCATTCTGAGCCCAAGAACACATGCTCAAATATTTGTGTAGGGCTATCCATCTGACCAAGGATCACTATCATTTCATTATCTATAAATTCCTTGATTTCCCGCAAGTTGCACACCATTTGCATTTCCAACTCTGTTCGGATCTCTTTAGATGTAATGTTCTCCAAATCCTTCTGCATCATAATCTCCTTTAATTTGGTTTTAATTAGCCTTTCTGTTCGCTCACGTTCAGTTGGTATGTCGGTGAAGACAGTTGGCGAGTCGGGCCGATGGGACTGCACATCCTGCATAGCATTCCATTCATTGACTGAGGATTGATCTGAGTTGATATGGCTCTCCTAATAACTCACCCAGGTGAGAAAGAGGCTGCCTGGGTAGTAGTTATGCATTCTGGGCACTTCACAAGCCTTGTGTAAACTCTGTAGGGCAGACCACATTGCCGGCACAGATACAGGTTTGAATATGTGAACTCTGTTATCTGTTGATACACTGAACCCACCATCACCATCCAAATGAATTAGAGTGTCACTCCAGAGAGGCAGGACTAAGCCCATGGTACAAGTGCTACTGTCATTAGAGGAGAAATCCATTCCTAGGACGATGCTTTCTTCAGTGTCTTGTCTACCATTAGTTGAAACCACTACCATATAGCGTGTTCGATTCTGGTAAGTACTTTCCAGTCTTACAGCCAGCCTGATATTGTCTTCTGGGCGGAGTAATATGAACATTGCTTGGAGATGCTGTTGGAGATCGCCTGCATGCTTGTTGCGCCTGTGGCTGATTCTTGGTGTGGATGAGCCATTTCCCCGTGGTAGAAAAAGGGCAGCACCTTTGACAGTTAGAAAGCTCCCGCTGATGCTCCTGGGCTGTGATCCGCATTCCTCCTCTCCACTGTCTGCCTCTGAGGCGCAGGGCTGGAGGCGGTGCTGGGGGTAGGCGGCCGCTGGACCGTGACCAAAGCCATCTAGGCGCTGCTGGGTTGTTCCGGACAGGGCATTCTCGTCCTGAGTGTGGGGGACGGGAGGGTGACGGAGCCGGGATGGGGAAAGGGATGCAGGGTAGGGGTGAAGGGGGGACGGGGAGCAGGAAGAGGACGCGGGAACAGCTGCAGGCTCAGCACCCACCACCGGACTCTCGCGGACTCTGAATTTTTTGTTTTTTAGTAAATATTGTTACTGGGGTATAACATCCATATAGAAATATTCACAAAGTGTCTGGGAAAGGTGGCTCACACCTGTAATCCTAGCACTTTGGGAGGCCCAGGTGGGAGGATTGTTTGAGGCCAGGAGTTCGAGACCACCTGAGCAACATAGTGAGACCCCATCTCTGCAAAAAAGAAAAGACAAAATTAGCTGGGCATGGTGCCATACAGCTGTAGTCCCAACTACTGGGGAGGCTGAGGCAGGAGGATCATTTGAGCCCAGGAGTTTGAGGTTGCTGTGAGCTATGATGATTCCACTGTACTCTACCCCTGGCAGTAAGAGTGAGAGAAAGAAGAAAGAAAGAAAGAAAGAAAGAAAGAAAGAAAGAAAGAGAAAGGAGGAAGAAGAAGAAGGAAGGGGAAGGAAGGAAGGAGAGGAAGGAAGGAAGGAAGGAAGGAAGGAAGAGGGAGAAAGAAAGAAGGAAGGAGGAAGGAGGAGGAAGGAAGGAAGGAAGAAGGAAGAGGAAGGAAGGAAGGAAGGAAGGAAAAGAAAGAGAAAGAGAAGAAGGAAAGAAGGAAAAAAGAAGAGAAGAGAAAAAAGAAAAGGAAAGAAGGAAGGAAGGAAGATGAACAAAGCATAAATGGGCAGCTTGATGATTTTTCACAAAGTGAACATATCCTTGTAATCAATGCACAGATCAAGAAACAACATTACCAGTATTTCAGAAGCCCCCTCATGCCCCTTCCTGGCTAATATTTCCTTTCCTTTCCTCCTCCTTCTTTCTCTTTGAGATGTAATTTATAAGCCATAAAATGTATCCATTGTAAATATATCATTTTATAATATTTTATAAATTTATATAGTTGTGCAACCCATCACCACCATCCAGTTTTAGAATCCTTCCATCATTCCAAAAAGTTCCATTGTTCAAGGTCAGTCCCTGTTGAAGGTCAATCCCCACTTTCATCCTCAGCTCCAGGCAACTATTTATTCAACTGCTCTCTTCTCTAGAGTTTTGCCTTTACTAAAATTTACATAAAAGTGGAAGCATACAGTAGTAGACATATAATAATACTATTTCATATTATTACTTGATTTAGAAATAAAGTCATAATAATAACATGTAAATATGAATATGGCATAGAGTTTCCCAAGTCTGCAATGTGAAACAACTTTAGGTCCTCAATAAAATACTAGCAAACAGAATCGAATACATTAAAAAGATTACTCACCATGATCAAGTGGAATTTATCCCAGGGATGCAAAAATGGTTCAACATATGCAAATCAATAAATGTGATACATCACATCAACAGAATCAAGGACAAAAGTTACATGTTCACTTCAATAGAAACTGAAAGCATTCAATAAAATTCATCATCCCTTCATGATAAAAATCCTTAACAAATTGGGTATGGAAGGAACATACCTCAACACAATAAAGTCCATATATCACAAGCCTACAACTAATATTATAGTGAATGCGGGAAAAAATTGAAAGCCTTTCCACTATGATCTCTAAGAAGACAAAGGTGCCCACATTCACCACTGTTATTCAACATACTACTGGAAGTCCTAGCCAGAGCAATTAAGCAAGAGAAATAAATGAAGGACATCTGAGTTGGAAAAGATGAAATCAAATTAGCCTTGTTTGTAGATAACATGATCTTATATTTATAAAAACCTAAAGACGCCACTAAAAACTCTTAGAACTAATAGACGAATTTAGTAAAGTTGCAGGATATAAACTCAACATGCAAAAATCAGTAGTGTTTATATGCACTAACAGTGACCAATCTGAAAAGGAAATCAAGAAAGCAACCCCATTTATAATAGCTACAAAAAATAAAATACCTAGAAATAAATTTAACTAAAGAAGTGAAAGATGTCTACAAGGAAAATTATAAAACACTGATGAAAAAAAATTGAAGAGGACACAAAAAAATGGAAAGATTCCCCATGTTGATGGATTGGAAGAATTCATATTGTTAAAATGTCTATACTACCTAAAGCAATCTACAGATTCAATGCAAGTCTGTAATCCTAGCACTCTAGGAGGCCAAGGCAAGAGGATCACTCAAGGTCAGGAGTTCAAGACCAGCCAGTACAAGAGTGAGACTCTGTCTCTACTAAAAAAAAAAAAAAAAAAAAAAAAAAAAAAATTAGCTGGACAATTAAAATATATAGAAAAAATTAGCTGGGCATGGTGGCTCATGCCTGTAGTCCCAGCTACTCAGGAGGCTGAGGCAGAAAGATTGCTTGAGCCCAGGAGTTTTAGGTTGTTGTGAGCTAGCCTGATGCCATGGCACTCTAGCCCAGGCAACAGAGCAAGACTCTATCTAAAAAAAAAAAAAAATTATATGGAACCACAAAAGACCCTAAATAGCTCAAGCAATCCTGAGCAAAATGAACAAAGCTGGAGGCATCACACTGCCTGATTTCAAATTATGTTACAAAGCTACAGTACCCAAAACAGCATGCTACTGGCAAAAAAAAAAAAAAGACAACAACAAAAGAAAACAGACATAGACCAATGGAACAGAATAGAGAACACAGAAGTAAATCTGATAGCCAGCTCATTTTCAACAAAGGCACCAAGAACATACATTGGGGAAAGAACAGTCTCTTTAATAAATGGTGCTGGGAAAACTGGATATCTGTATACAGAAGAATGAAACTAGATCCCCATCTTTCACCATATATAAAAATTAACTCAAAATAGATCAAAGACTTACATGTAAAACCTGGAACTATGAAACTATTAGTATAAAACATTGGGGAAATGCTATAGGACAAGGTTGTTTTGGGTAAAACCTCAAAAACACAGGCAACAAAGGCAAAAATAGACAAATGAAATTACATCAAGTGAAAATGCTTCTGCACAGCAAAGTAAGCAATCAACAAAGTGAAGAGATAAACTACAGAATAGGAGAAAGTATTTGCAAACTATCCATCTGATAATGGATTAATAATCAGAATATATAAGAAACTCAAACAACTCAATAACAAAAAAACAAATAATCTGACTCCAAAATGGGCAAAAAGGCTGGGTGCAGTGGTGTTCACCCATAGTGCCAGCTACTTGGAGGCTGAGGATCTCTTGAACCCAAGAGTTTAAAGCCAGTCTGGGCAACATAGCGAGACTCCATCTCAAAAAAAGTGGGCAGAGGTAAAGGCCTGAATAGACACTTCTCAAAGGAAGACATACAAATGGCCAATAGGGATAGGAAAAAATGTTCAGCATCACTAATCATCAGGGAAATGCAAATCAAAACCACTATGAGATATTACTTCACCCAGTTATAATGGCTATTATCAAAAAGACAAAAAATAGCAAATGCTGGTGAGGATACAAGAGAAAGGGGAATGCTCGGACACTGTTAGTGGGAATGTAAATTAGTACAGCCATTATGGAGAACAGCACGGAGGTTCCTCAAAACACTAAACATAGAACTACCATATGATCCAGCAATCCCACTGCTCGGTATGCATCCAAAAGAAAGGAAATCAATATATCAAAGAGATATCTGCACTCCAACATTTATTGCAACACTATTCATAATAAATAAGATATGAAATTAGTTGAAGTGTCCATCAATGGATGAATGAAGGAAATGTGAGATATATACATAATGAAATACTATTCAGCCATGAAAAAGAATGAAACCCAGTCATTTACAGCAACATAGATGGAACTGGAGGTCATTCTGTTTGGTGAAATATGCAGGCACATAAAGACAAATACTGCATACTTTCACTCATAATTTGGAGCTTAAAAAGTGGATCTCATAGAGGGAGAGAGTAGAATGGTGGTTACCAGAGGCTAGAAAGGTAAGATGGGAGGTGAGAGATGAAGTGAAATTGGTTAATGGGTATAAACACACAGTTAGATAGAAAGAATAAATTCTAGTGTTTGATAGCAAAGTAGAGAAATTATAATTAACAATAATGTGTTGCATATTTCAAAAGAGCTAGAAGAAAAGAATTATAATGTTCCCAATAAAGAGAAAAGATAAAAGTTTGAGGTGATGGACATCTCAATTACCCTGATTTGATCATTACACATTGTATACGTGTATCCAAATATCACATGTATCCCCAAAATATGTACAATTGTTATATATCAATTTTAGAAAAATGACTTTGGGTTGTATACAGACAGCTGTTTGATGTCTTAGCTGTGCATTTTGGATGAGACATGTGAAAATAACTAGCACATCAAGCCCACGATGTCACAGACACCATTGCTTAGATTTGGGATAGTGTTTAAAAGTAATTAATTTAAGGAAACATTAATAATAACACAGTGCATAGATTTTAAAAATTGTGAGAATGTATGCCAATGATTGAAGCCAGTATTAATAAAATAGTAGCTTCAATTAAGAGAGAGAAATAGTTTCTGTGGGGCCTGAAATTCTCTGTATATCCAGCAATATACAGCCTTTAAAAAATAACAATCAGGAGCTTCTTACCATTTGGTTTGAAGTCTCCAGGATCTCATTCTTGACTGTCTCTTATTGTGTGACAACAAGCTTTTAATTTTTTCCTAACTTGATCTGACTTTATTTTTGACATCGCAAAAGTTTTGCTCATAAGGCTTCTTCTTTCTCTCTTTCCTCCCCCATCTTTTTTCCTCTTCCCCTCTCACTCCTCTTCTCTCTCTCTCTCTCTCTCTCTCTCTCTCTCTCTCTCTCTTTCTGTCTCAGAAGGGGAGAAAAATAAAACTACTGTGCTAAAGTAAATAAACATTTTTCAAGGCCTTAAAAAAATAATAACAATCAGAATTGTATGGCCATTGACATTTTTCATTGGCCATTTTAACACATTTTTATCGAATGCCTTGTCTGTTCTCGATGCCACATAAATGTTCATTTAGAGATTCTATTCAAACTGCTTTTGTGTTTACATTAAAAATATTCTTAGGCTGGGCACGGTGGCTCACGCCTGTAATCCTAGCACTCTGGGAGGCCGAGGCAGGCG